TTTTTATCCCCCCCCCCCCAATAACATCATGGGGCCACATTGGAGTCAGGGTTTATTTGGGGGGGGACACCCCAAAATCCACTCCCCCCCCAGTATGCACCTTATGGGGGGGGGACCCCCATTGGGTTTTGGGGGGTTTGGGGTGATTTTGGGGGTTTTGGGGGGGTTTTGGGGGGTTTTGGGTGGTTTTGGGTGATTTTGGGGGGTTTTGGGGTGTTTTGGGTGATTTTGTGGTGCTTTGGGTGATTTTGGGGTGTTTTGGGTGATTTTGGGGTGTTTTGGGGTGTTTTGGGTGATTTTGGGGGGTTTGGGGGGGGTTGGGGGGTTTTGGGGTGTTTTGGGTGGTTTTGGGTGATTTGGGGTGATTTTGGGGGGTTTTGGGGTGTTTTGGGAGATTTTGGGGTGCTTTGGGTGGTTTTGGGTTATTTTGTGGCAGTTTTGGTGTATTTGGGGGGGAGTCTTGGGGTGGTTTTGGGGGATTTTGGGACAGTTTTGGGGGATTTGGGGCATTTTGGGGGTATTTGGGTTATTTTGGGTCAGTTTGGGGGTATTTTGGGTCAATTTTGGGATATTGTGTGGTAGTTTTGGGGTATTTTGGGTCAATTTTGGGATATTTTGTGGTAGTTTTGGGGTATTTTGGGGTATTTGGGTTATTTTGGGGCAGTTTTGGAGTATTTTGGGTCAGTTTGGGGTCAGTTTTGGGGTGTTTTGGGATATTTTGGGTCAGTTTTGGGGTATTTTGGGTCTATTTTTGGGTATTTTGGGTCTATTTTGGGGTATTTTGGACAATTTTGGGTCTATTTCGGTTTTTTGGTCAGTTTTGGGGTATTTTCGGTCAATTTTGGGGTATTTTGGGCAATTTCGGGGTATTTTCGGTCAGTTTTGGTGTATTTTCTGGTATGTTGGTGTATTTGGGGTCAATTTTGGGCTATTTTTGGTGTATTTTGGGTCTATTTCGGGGTATTTGGGGTATTTTGGGTCAGTTTTGGGTTATTTTGGGCCTATTTCGGGGTATTTTGGGTCAGTTTTGGTGTATTTTGGGTCAATTTCGGGGTATTTTGGGTCAATTTTGGTGTATTTTGGGTCAATTTTGGGGTATTTTGGGTCAGTTTTGGGGTATTTTCTGGTATTTTGGTGTATTTGGGGTCAATTTTGGGGTATTTTGGTGTATTTTGGGTCTATTTTGGTGTATTTTGGGTCTATTTTGGGGTATTTCGGGTCCATTTCGTGGTATTTGGGGTCAATTTTGGGGTATTTTGGGTCAATTTTGGGTTATTTTGGGCCTATTTTGGGTCAGTTTTGAGTTATTTTGGGTCAATTTTGGTGTATTTTGGGCCTATTTCGGAGTCTTCGGGGTCGGTCAGGTCGCCGCCAGCAGCCTCAGCTCCGTGCTGGGTTTGGGGGGGGGGCCCAGGGGGTCCCCGCGGGTCTCGGGCAGGAACAGGAAGACCCCAAGAGCAGCGAGGAGCCCAACGGCCCCAAAGGGCAGCAACAGGAACGGGCCCAGGGAGAGCTGGGGGGGGCACCCATTGATATCCATTGACACCCATTGACACCCATTGACACCCATTGACACCCATTGATATCCATTGACACCCATTGAGACCCATTGAGACCGATTGAGACCCATTGAGACCCATTGACACCCATTGGCAACCATTGGCAACCATTGAGACCCATTGAGACCCATTGGCACCCATTGATACCCACTGAGACCCATTGACACCATTGAGACCCATTGATATCCATTGGCACCCATTGACACCCATTGATACCCATTGACACCCATTGATACCCATTGGCACCCATTGATACCCATTGATACCCATTGGCACCCATTGACACCCATTGAGACCCATTGAGACACATTGACACCCATTGATACCCATTGGCACCCATTGAGACCCATTGAGACCCATTGGCACCCATTGAGACCCATTGACACCCATTGAGACCCATTGAGACCCACTGAGACCCATTGAGACCCATTGAGACCCATTGACCCCATTGACACCCATTGAGACCCATTGACACCCATTGAGACCCCCCCATTGCCCCCCATTGCCCCCCATAGATCCCATTGCCCCCATTGTCCCCCATTGCCCCCATTGCCCCCATTGCCCCCCCATTGCCCCCCATTGCCCCCCATTGCCCCCCATTGCCCCCATTGCCCCCCATTGCCCCCCATTGACCCCCATTACCCCCCATAGCCCCCCATTGCCCCCCACTGCCCCCCATTGCCCCCATTGACCCCATTGCCCCCCATTGCCCATTGACCCCCATTGCCCCCATTGCCCCCCATTGCCCCCCATTGCCCCCCATTAACCCCCATTGGCCCCCATTGCCCCCCATTGCCCCCCATTGCCCCCATTGCCCCCCATTGCCCCATTGCCCCCCATTGCCCCCATTGCCCCCCATTGTCCCCATTGCCCCCCATTGCCCCCCATTGCCCCCCATTACCTCCATAGCAGGCACTGCCGCCGCCACTGCCCCATTGACCCCCATTGCCCCCCATTGCCCCCATTGTCCCCATTGCCCCCATTGCCCCCCATTGCCCCCCATTGCCCCCATTGCCCCCATTGTCCCCATTGCCCCCATTGCACCCCATTGCCCCCCATTGCCCCCCATTGCCCCCATTGCCCCCATTGCCCCCATTGCCCCCATTGCCCCCATTGCCCCCATTGCCCCCCATTGCCCCCCATTGCCCCCCATTACCTCCATAGCAGGCACAGCCGCCGCCACTGCCCCATTGCCCCCCATTGCCCCCATTACCCCCACTGCCCCCCATTGCCCCTCATTGCCCCCCATTGCTCCTCATTGCCCCCCATCACCGCTATTGCCCCCCATCACCCCCATTGCCCCCCATTGCCCCCATTGCCCCCATTGCCCCCATTACCCCCCATTACCCCCCATTGCCCCCCATTGACCCCATTGCCCCCATTGCCCCTAATGGCACTCAATGGCACCCATTGCCCCCCATTGACCCCATTGACCCTATTGCCCCCCATTGCCCCCATTGCCCCCCCCCATTGTCCCCATTGCCCCCCATTATCCCCCATAGCCCCCCATTGCCCCCCATTACCTCCATAGCAGGCACAGCCGCCGCCACTGCCCCATTGCCGACCCACACCACGGCCGCTGTGACCCCGGCAGCGCCCACCCGAGCCGGCCCCATAGGGAAGAGCTCGGCCGGGAGCAGATGTGGGGCAAAGCCCGGCCCCACGGCGAAGGAGGAGACCACGAGGAGCCCCCCAAGCACGGAGAGAGCGGGGGGCAGAGGCCATGGGGCCTGGGGGGAGAGTGGGGGTTATGGGGGGGAATGGGGGGAATGGGGGGGAATGGGGCTATGGGGGTTATGGGGGGGAATGGGGGGAATGGGGGGAATGGGGCTATGGGGGGGAATGGGGGGGATGGGGGGGGGGATGTGGGGGTGATGGGGGGAATGGGGCTATGGGGGGGGGTATGGGGTTATCGGGGGGAATGGGGGTAATGGGGCTATGGGGGGTAATGGGGGTAATGGGGTTATGGGGTCAATGGGGCTATGGGGGGTAATGAGGGGTGATGGGGTTATGGGGAGTAATGGGGGGAATGGGGCTATGGGGGGTAATGGGGGTAATGGGGGGTAATGGGGCTATGGGGGGCAATGGGGCTATGGGGGGGAATGGGGGTAATGGGGTAATGGGGCTATGGGGGGGAATGGGGCTATGGGGGGGAATGGGGGTAATGGGGGGGAATGGGGTTATGGGGGGCAATGGGGTTATGGGGGGGAATGGGGGTAATGGGGGTAATGGGGGATGGGGTTTGGGTCATTTTGGGTCATTTTGGAGCCATTTTGTGTCATTTTTGGTCATTTTGGGATCATTTTTGCTCATTTTTGGGACATTTTTGGTCATTTTTGCTCATTTTTGCACATTTTTGGGCCATTTTCGGGTCATTTTTGGGTCATTTTTGCTCATTTTTGCACATTTTTGGGCCATTTTCGGGTCATTTTTGGGTCATTTTTGCTCATTTTTGGGCCATTTTTGCACATTTTTGGGCCATTTTTGCTCATTTTTGGGTAATTATTGCACATTTTGAGGTTATTTGGGGTCATTTTTCCTCATTTTTGGGTCATTTTTCCTCATTTTTGGGCCATTTTTGCTCATTTTGGGGTCATTTTTGCACATTTTTTGGGTCACTTTTGCTCATTTTTGCTCATTTCTGTGCCATTTTCGGGTCATTTTTGCTCATTTTAGGGTCGTATTTCGACATTTTTGAGTCATTTTTGCTCATTTTGGGTCATTTTTGGGTCATTTTTGGGCCATTTTTGGGTCTTTTTTTGTCATTTCAGATCACTTTTGGGTCATTTTGGGCCATTTTTGGGTCATTTTTGCTCCTTTTTTTGTCATTTTGCGTCATTTTTGCACATTTTTGTGCAATATTCGGGTCATTTTTGCTCATTTTATGGTCATTTTTGCCCATTTTCGGGTCATTTTTGCTCATTTTTTGGCCATTTTCGGGTCATTTTTGCCCATTTTGGGGTCATTTCGGGGCTATATTTGGGGTCTTTTTTTTGTCATTTCAGATCACTTTTTCGTCATTTTGGGCCATTTTTCCTCATTTTTCAGTCATTTTTGCAGATTTTTGGGACATTTTTGCACATTTTGGGGTCATTTTTGCTCATTTTTGGGCCATTTTTGCTCATTTTGGGGTCATTTGGGGTCATTTTTGCTCATTTTGGGGTCATTTTGGGGTCTTTTTTGGGCCATTTTGGGTCTTTTTTTATCATTTCAGACCACTTTTGGGTCATTTTGGGCCATTTTTGGGTCAATTTTGCTCATTTTTGGGTCATTTTTGCCCATTTTTGAGACATTTTTTCTCATTTTGGGGTCATTTTGGGGCTATAATTGGGTCATTTTTTTGTCATTTCAGATCAATTTTGGGGCCATTTTTGCTCATTTTTGGCATTTTGGGGTCATTTTTGGTCATTTTTGCCCATTTTTGGGTCATTTTATGGTCATTTTTGCCCATTTTGGGGTCATTTTTGCTCATTTTTGGGTCATTTTTGCCCATTTTGGGGTCCTTTTTGCCCATTTTTGGGTCCTTTTTGCCCCTTTTTGTGTCCTTTCGGGTCTCACCGTCAGGCTCAGCCCCAACGTCATCACGGCCACGCCCGCCGCCATCCCCAGGAGCCCACCAATCAGCAGCGCCCGGCGCCCCGCCCTCCGCAACAGCGCCCCCTGCAGGGCGGGAGGACCCATGGGAACCCGCTCCCATTGGCTGAAAGGGGGAGGGAGGCGTGGCCAAGGGGGCGGAGCTTACCGCCAGCACGGTGGCGGCCATGTTGATGACGCCAGTGGCCACCGTGGCCCACGTGGGCTGCGCTAGCCCCGCCCTCTCAAAGATGGCCGTCGAGTAGTAATAGAGCTAAGGGGGGGAAGGGGGCGGGGCCAGCGTCAGGGCCACGCCCCCTTTAGCCACGCCCCGCGTCACCCATAGGCTCCTCCCCCTTAGGCCCCGCCCATCGTTGAGACCCGCCCCCTCGGCCCTTTTAGACCCCGCCCCTTTTAGGCTCCTCCCCTTTAAGCTCCGCCCCTTTTAAGTCAGGACCCATTTAGCCCCTCCCCTTTAAGCCCCGCCCCTTTTGAGCTCCTCCCCTTTAAGCTCCGCCCCCTTTAAGTCAGGACCCATTTAGCCCCTCCCCTTTAAGCCCCGCTCCTCCCCTTTAAGCTCCGCCCCCTTTAAGTCAGGAACCATTTAGCCCCTCCCCTTTAAGCCCCGCCCCCTTTAGACTCCTCCCCTTGAGGTTCTGCCCCCTTTAAATCCCTCCCATTCAGACCCCACCCTCTCAGACCCCGCCCCCTGTTGGCTCCACCCCCTCCAGACCCCATCCCTTGGCCCCTCCCCTTTGGAGCCCTGTACCCTTTAAGCCCCGCCCCCTTCCAGCCCCTGCCCCCTATTGCTCCACCCCCTTTAAGCTCCTCCCCCCCAGACCCCGCCCCCTTTAAACCACGCCCTCTTTAGACCCCCATTGAGGCCCCGCCCCATTGTAAGCCCCTCCCCAACAAGCCCCTCCCACCTAAGATCCGCCCCTTCAAGGCCTGCCCCCATTGGCTCCACCCCTTTTAAGCTTCTCTCAAAGCCCCCATTAAGCCACGCCCCTTTAAACCCCATCCCATTTAAGCCCCGCCCCCATTAGGCCCCGCCCCCTTCTTGTACCACCCCCCTTAAGCCCCACCCCTTCAAGCCCCACCCCTCCTTTGGGTCCCGCCCCCCTTTAGGCCCCTCCCCTTCAAGCCCCAGCCCCCCCCTTAAGCCCCACCCCTTCAAGCCCCACCCCTCTTTTGGGTCCCGCCCCCCTTTAGGCCCCTCCATTTCAAGCCCCACCCCCCTTAAGCCCCACCCCTTCAAGCCCCACCCTCCTTTCGGCCCCGCCCCCTTTCAACACCAACCCCTTAAACCCCACCCCATTCAAGCCCCTCCCCTTCAAGCCCCGCCCCCCATTTGCCCCCGCCCCTTTCAACACCAACCCCTTACCCCACCCCATCCAAGCCCCACCCCTTCCCCCGCCCCCCATTTGCCCCCGCCCCTTTCAACACCAACCCCTTAAACCCCACCCCATTCAAGCCCCGCCCCCTTCTGACCCCGCCCCCCATTTGGCCCCGCCCCTTTCAACACCAACCCCTTAAACCCCACCCCATCCAAGCCCCGCCCCCTTCTGACCCCGCCCCCCATTTTGCCCCAGCCCCATTTAAGCCCCAACCCCCTTAACCCACACACCCCCAAGCCACACGCCCCTTTAAGCCCCGCCCCCTTTAAGCCCCTCCCCCTTTTAAGCCCCGCCCCCTTTAAGCCCCGCCCCTCACCGCTCCGATCCCCGCCAGCTCCTTCCCCAGCGCCACGCCCACCGCGATCGCCATTGGCTGCCGGAGCTGGGCCCGGCCCCACAACTGCGGCAACGTCAGCGAGGGGGCGGGGCCTGAGCCTGCAAGGGGAGGGGTTAAAGTAGGGGGGGAGGGGTCAAAGGGGGGGGGGGGATGGGGGTTGGGTTCCGTTTCTCACCTCCGGGCCCCATTGGCAGCAGCAGGAGCTGGAGCGCGGTCGGGAGCAGCCCCAGGGCCAGGAGCGCCGGCAGCGCCCGCGCCGAGCCCAGCAGCGGCGGCAGAGCCAGCACCTGCGGGAGCGGGCACGGCACCGGGTGTCGCGATAGCGCCGCGATATGGCACCCCGGCGTCGCGATAAGGCGCCCCAGTGTCGCGATAGGGCACCCCGACGTCGCGATAAGGCACCCCACTGTCGCGATATGGCACCCAGTGTCGCGATAGCGCCACGATATGGCACCCCAGCGTCGCAATAAGGCAACCCGGCGTCGCGATAATGCACCCCAGTGTCGCGATATGGCACCCCGGTGTCGCGATAAGGCACCCACTGTCGCGATATGGCACCCCGGCGTCGCGATAAGGCACCCCGGCGTCGCGATATGGCACCCCGGCGTCGCGATAAGGCACCCCACTGTCGCGATATGGCGCCCAGTGTCGCGATAGCGCCACGATATGGCACCCCAGCGTCGCAATAAGGCAACCCGGCGTCGCGATAAGGCACCCCAGTGTCGCGATATGGCACCCCGGCGTCGCGATAAGGCACCCCAGTGTCGCGATATGGCACCCCGGCGTCGCGATAAGGCACCCCAGTGTCGCGATAAGGCACCCCGGCGTCGCGATAAGGCACCCCAGTGTCGCGATAAGGCACCCCGGCGTCGCGATAAGGCACCCCAGTGTCGCAATATGGCACCCCGGCATCGCGATAAGGCACCCCAGTGTCGTGATATAGCACCCAGTGTCGCGATAGCGCCACGATATGGCACCCCGGCATCACAATAAAACACCCACTGTCGCGATAGTGCCACGATATGGCACCCCGGCGTCACAATAAGGCAACCCGGCATCGTGATATGGCACCCCGGTGTCGCGATAAAACACCCTGGTGTCGCGATAAGGCACCCAGTGTCGTGATATGGCACCCAGTGTCGTGATAGTGCCACGATATGGCACCCCAGCGTCACGATAAGGCACCCCGGCGTCGCGCTAAAACACCCCAGTGTCGCGATAAGGCACCCTGGCGTCACGATAAGGCACCCTGGCGTCGCGATAAAACACCCACTGTCGCGATAAGGCACCCAGTGTCGCGAGATAGCACCCAGTGTCCTGATAGTGCCACAATATGGCACCACGGCGTCGTGATAAGGCACCCCCGCGTCGCGATAAAACACCCCGGCGTCGCGATAAAACACCCCAGTGTCGCGATAAAACACCCCGGTGTCCCGATAAGGCACCCAGTGTCACGAGATAGCACCCAGTGTCGTGATAGTGCCACGATATCGCACCCCGGCGTTGCGATAAAACACCCCGGTGTCCCAATATGGCACCCCGGCGTCGCGATTTGGCACCCCGGCGTTGCGTATGGCACCGAGTGTCGCAATAGTGCGGCGATATGGCACCCCGGTGTCGCGATATGACACCACGGTGTTGCGATAGTGCTGCGATATGACACCCCCCAGTGTCGCGATAAGGCACCCCGGTGTCACGATGCAGCAGCCAGTGTCGCGATAGTGCTGCGACATGGCACCCCGGTGTCGCGATAAGGCACCCCAGTGTCGCAATACAGCAACCAGTGTCATCATAGTGCCGCTATATGGCACCCCAGTGTCGCGATACGGCACCCAGTGTCGTGATAGTGCTGCGATATGGCACCCCAGTGTCACGATACAGCACCCAGTGTCGTGATAGTGCTGCCATGTGGCACCCCAGTGTCGCGATACGGCACCCAGTGTCATGATAGCACCACGGTACGGCTCCCCGGTGTAGCAATACGGCACCCAGTGTGGTGATAGAGAGCGGTACAGCACCCCAGCGTCGCGATACGGCACCCAGTGTCGTGACAGTGTTGTGATATGGCACCCCAGTGTCACGATGTGGTATGCGGTGTCGCAATATGGCACCCAGTGTAGCCATACAGCACCCCAGTGTCGCGATACGGCACCCGCTGTTGTGATACTGCCGCTACATGGCACCCAGTGTCGTGATAGTGCTGCGACATGGCACCCCAGTGTCGCGATACGGCACCCAGGGTCCCCATAGGGCACCCAGTGCTGCGACAGTGCTGAGTTACTGCTCCCCAGTGTCGCGATAAGGCACCCGGTGTCGCGACAACCCCGCGATAGGGCACCCGATGTCGTGATAGCGCCTCAGTGCAGCACCCCAGTGTCGCGATACGGCACCCAGTGTCATGATAGCACCACGGTACGGCTCCCCGGTGTAGCAATACGGCACCCAGTGTCGTGATAGAGAGCGGTACAGCACCCCAGCGTCGTGATACGGCACCCAGTGTCGTGACAGTGTTGTGATATGGCACCCCAGTGTCACGATATGGTATGCAGTGTCGCGATACGGCACCCAGTGTAGCCATACAGCACCCCACTGTCGCGATACGGCACCTGCTGTCGTGATACTGCCGCTACATGGCACCCAGTGTCGTGATAGTGCTGCGACACAGCACCCCAGTGTCGCGATACGGCACTCAGGGTCCCCATAGGGCACCCAGTGCTGCGACAGTGCTGAGTTACTGCTCCCCAGTGTCGCGATAAGGCACCCGATGTCGCGATAACCCCGCGATAGGGCACCCGGTGTCGCGATAGCGCCTCAGTGCAGCACCCCAGTGTCGCAATACGGCACCCAGGGTCCCCATAGGGCAGCCAGTGCTGCGACAGTGCTGAGGTACTGCTCCCCAGTGTCGCGATAGGGCAACCGGTGTCGCGATAACACCGCGATAAGGCACCCGATGTCGTGATAACCCCGCGATAGGGCACCCGATGTCGCGATAGCGCCTCAGTGCAGCACCCCAGTGTCGCGATACGGCACCCATGGTCCCCATAGGGCACCCAGTGCTGCGACAGTGCTGAGGTACTGCTCCCCAGTGTCACGATAAGGCACCCGATGTCGCGATAACACCGCGATAAGGCACCCGGTGTCGCGATAACCCCGCGATAAGGCACCCGATGTCGCGATAACCCCGCGATAAGGCACCCGGTGTCGCGATAACCCCGCGATAAGGCACCCGGTGTCGCGATAACCCCGCGATAGGGCACCCGATGTCGCGATAACCCCGCGATAGGGCACCCGATGTCGCGATAACCCCGCGATAGGGCACCCAATGTCGCGATAGCAGGTTCTATCGCGACAAGCTCCGCCCCCCCCCCCCGAGGCCACGCCCCCACCTGTGACGTCAGCATCCCGAGGGCGACGCCGGCCTCGTGCACGGCGCCCAGCGCCCCCTGCAGGCGGGGCGGGGCCACCTCCTCCAGGTACAAGGGGACCAATCCCGAGGCCAGGCCTGAGGGGCGGAGGGCGGGGTCACGATTGGCCACGCCCCCCCCGCCCCCCCTCCTAAACCAATCACGTGCGTCGCCCCTTTAAGGGGCGGTACCTGAGTGCAGGCCCGTAACCAATCGGCCAATGACGACGAGGGCGTAGGTGGGGCCGAGCTTGGCCCCGCCCATCAGGGCTCCTCCAATCACCGCCAGCCCATTGCTGGCCAATAGGGCGCCTTTCCTGCAAGGGGGGAGGGGCCGCACCCCCTTTAGGCCCCACCCCCTTTAATCCCTCCCCCTTTAAACCCCTTTAGCCCCTCCCACTTTGAGCCCCGCCCCCTTTAGCCACAGGCCCTGCCCCCATTCAAGCCCCTCCCCATTAAGTCCTGCCTTTCTAAGCCCCACCCCCTCAAGCCCCGCCCCTTTAGGCCCCTCCCCTTAAAGCCCCGCCCCCTTTAAGCCCTTTAAACCCCGCCCCTTTTAAGCACCGCCCCCTTTAAGCACCGCCCCCTTAAATCCCCACCCCCTTTAGACCCAGCCCCCTTTAACCCCCATCCTTTTAAGCCCCCCTTAAACCCGCCCCCTCCCCCTTAGCCCCGCCCCTCCCCTTTAAGCCCCGCCTCCTCTCTCCTTTAGGCCCCGCCCCCTCCCCTTTAAACCCACCCTCTCTCATTTTAACCCGCCCCCTCTCCTTTAAGCCCCGCCCCTCCCATATAAGCTCCGCCCACCCCATCTAAGCCCCACCCCCTCCTCTTTAAGCCCCGCCCACCCCACTCTAAGCCCCGCCCCTCCCATTTAAGCTCCGCCCATCCCATCTAAGCCCCGCCCCCTCCCTTTAAGCCCCGCCCCCTCAGACCCCACCCCCCTTTAGGCCCCGTCCCCTTTAAGCCCCATCCTTTTAAGCCCCCCTCAAAGCTCCTCCCCTTTAGGCCCCGCCCCCTGCCCTTTAAACCCCGCCCCCTCCCCTTTTAAGCCCCGCCCCTTTCCTTTAAGCCCCGCCCCTCCCCTTTAAACCACGCCCCCTTTAAACCCCGCCCCCTTTAAACCCCGCCCCCTTCCCTTTAAGCCCCGCCTCTCCCCATTGAACCCTGCCCCCTCCCCCATTTAACCCCACCCCCCCTTCAGGCCCCGCCCCTTCCCTTTAGGCCCCGCCCCCTCCCCTTTAGTCCTTCTCCTTTAAGCCACACCCCCCCCTCGTCTTTTGTCCACGCCCCCTTTTAGGCCCTGCCCTCTCCCGTTTAGCCCCGCCCCCTCCTCCTTCAGGCCCCGCCCCCTCCTATATAGGCCCCGCCTCCGTTAGGCCCCACCCCTTCCCTTTTTAGGCCCCGCCCTCTCCCGTTTAGCCCCACCCCCTCCTCCTTCAGGCCCCGCCCCCCTTAAGCCCCGCCCCCTCCCATTTAAGCCCCGCCTCTCCCCATTAAACCCAGCCCCCTCCCCCATTAAACCCCACCCCCCCTTCAGGCCCCGCCCCATCCCGTTCAGGCCCCACCCCCTCCCCTTTAGGCCCCGCCCTCTCTCGTTTAGCCCCGCCCCCTCCTCCTTTAGGCAACGCCCCCGTTCAGGCCCCGCCCCCTCCCGTTTAGACCCCGCCTCCTCCTTTAGGCCACGCCCCCTCGTCTTTTGTCCACGCCCCCTTTTAGGCCCCGCCCCCTCCCCTCCCATTTAAGCCCCACCCCCTCCCCCTTCAGGCCCCGCCCCCTCCCGTTCAGGCCCCGCCCCCCTTCCATTTAGCCCCCGCCCCCCTCCCCTTTAGGCCCCGCCCCCTCCCCTTTTACCCGCCCCCTCCCCTTCAGGCCCCGCCCCCTCCCGTTTTAGGCCCTGCCCTCTCCCCCCGCCCCTTTTTAGCCCTGCCCCCTCCTCCTTCAGGCCCCGCCCCCCTTAAGCCCCGCCCCCTCCCATTTAAGCCCTGTCCCCTCCCCCATTAAACCCCACCCCTCACCCTTTAAGCCCCGCCCCCCTCCCCCCTTTAAACCCCTCCCCCCTCCCATTTAAGCCCCGCCCCCTCCCCCCCTTCAGACCCCACCCCCTCCCATATGGTCCCCGCCCCCCTTAAGCCCCGCCCCCTCCCATTTAAGCCCTGTCCCCTCCCCCATTAAACCCCGCCCCCTCCCATTTAAACCCCACCCCCCCTTCAGGCCCCGCCCCCCATTAACCCCCACCCCCTCCCCCCTTAAGCCCCGCCCCCTCCCATTTAACCCCCACCCCCTCCCCCATTAAACCCCACCCCTCACCCTTTAAGCCCCGCCCCCTCCCCCATTAAACCCCGCCCCCTCCCCCCTTTAACCCCCACCCCCTCCCCCATTAAACCCCACCCCCTCCCCCCCTTCAGGCCCCGCCCCCTCCCGTTGAGGCCCCTCCCCCCGGCACCGTCCGAGCCGCTCCGCCGCGGGCGCGGCCGCCAGGGCCGCAGGCACCGCCCCCAGGGGGAGGAGGGGCAGGGCCAGGGGGGGGGAGGGGCCGCGGGGCCACAGCGAGGAGTTGGAGGAGAACCACAGAGCCTGGGGGGAGGGGAGACACGGGGACACTGCTGTGGGGCGGGGACAGAGAGAGAGCTGTGGGGCAGGGACATTGCTATGGGGCAGGGACACTGCTATGGGGCAGGGAGAGAGAGAGAGCTATGGGGCAGGGACACTGCTATGGGGCAGGGACACTGCTATGGGGCTGGGACACTGCTATGGGGCGGGGAGAGAGAGAGAGCTATGGGGTGGGGAGAGAGCTATGAGGGTGCTATGGGAGCTGAGAGAGAGAGCTATGGGGTGGGGAGAGAGAGAGAGCTATGGGGTGGGGAGAGAGAGAGCTATGGGGCTGGGACAGAGAGAGCTGTGGGGCAGGGACACTGCTATGGGGTGGGGAGAGAGAGAGAGCTATGGGGCAGGGACACTGCTATGGGGCAGGGACACTGCTATGGGGTGGGGACACTGCTATGGGGCTGGGAGAGAGAGAGAGCTATGGGGCAGGGACACTGCTATGGGGCTGGGACACTGCTATGGGGCAGGGACACCGCTATGGGGCAGAGAGAGAGAGAGAGCTATGGGGCGGGGAGAGAGCTATGGGGCAGGGAGAGAGCTATGGGGCAGGGAGAGAGAGAGCTATGGGGTGGGGAGAGAGCTATGGGGCAGGGACACTGCTATGGGGCTGGGAGAGACTGCTATGGGGCTGGGAGACACTGCTATGGGGCGGGGACACTGCTATGGGGTGGGGAGAGAGCTATGGGGCAGGGACACTGCTATGGGGCAGCGCTATGGGGCAGGGACACTGCTATGGGGCGGGGACACTGCTATGGGGCAGCACTATGTGGTGGGGACACTCCTATGGGGCTTGGAGAGAGCTATGGGGCAGCGCTATGGAGCCTGGACACTGCTATGGGGTGGGGAGAGAGCTATGGGACACGGAGACTGCTATGGGGCAGCGCTATGGGGCAGGGACACTGCTATGGGGCAGGTCCAGCACTATGGGTCACGGAGAGTGCTATGGGGCAGTTCTATGGGGCAAGGAAAGAGCTGTGGGGCACTTAACCAGCAGTGGGGCATTCACCCATCTATGGGGCTGCCAACAACCTGTGGGGCCCACATCCATCAAAGGCTCCCGCCCCATACATCACCCATCTATGGGGCCCTGCAGTTTCTATGGGTCCCATTCACTCTCTATGGGGCCCATTCATTCCCTATGGGTCCCATTCACCCTCTATGGGTCTCATTCATTCCCTATGGGACCATTCACTCCCTATGGGTCTATTCACGCCCTATGGGTCACATTCATTCCCTATGGGTCCCATTCACTTTCTATGGGTCCCATTCACTCTCTATGGGTCCCATTCACTCCCTATGGGTCCATTCACTCTCTATGGGTCCCATTCCCTCCCTATGGGTCCCATTCACTCTCTATGGGTCCCATTCATTCCCTATGGGTCCATTCCCTCCCTATGGGTCCCATTCCCTCCCTATGGGTCCATTCCCTCCCTATGGGTCCCATTCACTCTCTATGGGTCCCATTCCCTCCCTATGGGTCCCATTCATTCTCTATGGGTCCCATTCATTCTCTATGGGTCCCATTCACTCTCTATGGGTCCCATTCCCTCCCTATGGGTCCCATTCATTCTCTATGGGTCCCATTCCCTCCCTATGGGTCCCATTCCCTCTCTATGGGTCTCTATGTGGGTCCATTCCTTCCCTATGGGTCCCATTCACTCCCTATGGGTCCCATTCCCTCTCTATGGGTCTCTATGGGTCCCATTCCCTCCCTATGGGTCCCATTCACTCCCTATGGGTCCATTCATTCCCTATGGGACCATTCACTCTCTATGGGTCCATTCACTCTCTATGGGTCCCATTCACTCTCTATGGGTCCCATTCACTCCCTATGGGTCCCATTCCCTCCCTATGGGTCCATTCACTCCCTATGGGTCCCATTCACTCCCTATGGGTCCCATTCACTCTCTATGGGTCCATTCCCTCCCTATGGGTCCATTCCCTCCCTATGGGTCCCATTCCCTCCCTATGGGTCCCATTCCCTCCCTATGGGTCCCATTCATTCCCTATGGGTCCCATTCATTCTCTATGGGTCCCATTCACTCCCTATGGGTCCCATTCACTCCCTATGGGTCCCATTCCCTCCCTATGGGTCCCATTCACTCTCTATGGGTCCCATTCACTCCCTATGGGTCTCATTCACTTTCTATGGGTCCCATTCACTCCCTATGGGTCCCATTCCCTCTCTATGGGTCTCTATGGGTCCATTCCTTCCCTATGGGTCCCATTCACTCTCTATGGCTCCCATTCATTCCCTATGGGTCCATTCACTCCCTATGGGTCCCTTTCCCTCCCTATAGGTCCCATTCCCTCTCTATGGGTCTCTATGGGTCCCATTCACTCTCTATGGGTCCATTCACTCCCTATGGGTCCATTCATTCCCTATGGGTCCATTCCCTCTCTATGGGTCCCATTCCCTCCCTATGGGTCCCATTCATTGCCTATGGGTCCATTCCCTCCCTATGGGTCCCATTCATTCTCTATGGGTCCATTCCCTCTCTATGGGGCCCATTCACCCTCTATGGGTCCATTCACTCCCTATGGGTCCCATTCACTCCCTATGGGTCCCATTCCCTCCCTATGGGTCCCATTCCCTCTCTATGGGTCTCTATGGGTCCATTCCTTCCCTATGGGTCCCATTCACTCTCTATGGCTCCCATTCATTCCCTATGGGTCCATTCACTCCCTATGGGTCCCTTTCCCTCCCTATAGGTCCCATTCCCTCTCTATGGGTCTCTATGGGTCCCATTCACTCTCTATGGGTCCATTCACTCCCTATGGGTCCATTCATTCCCTATGGGTCCATTCCCTCTCTATGGGTCCCATTCCCTCCCTATGGGTCCCATTCATTGCCTATGGGTCCATTCCCTCCCTATGGGTCCCATTCATTCTCTATGGGTCCCATTCCCTCCCTATGGGTCCCATTCCCTCCCTATGGGTCCCATTCCCCCCCTATGGGTCCCATTCCCCCCCTATGGGTCCCATTCATTCCCTATGGGTCCCATTCATTCTCTATGGGTCCATTCACTCCCTATGGGACCCATTCCCTCCCCATGGGTCCCATTCACTCCCTATGGGTCCCATTCACTCCCTATGGGTCCATTCCCTCTGTATGGGTCCCATTCCCTCCCTATGGGTCCCATTCACTCCCTATGGGTCCACTCACTCTCTATGGGTCCATTCCCTCCCTATGGGTCCCATTCCCCCTCTATGGGTCCCATTCCCTCTCTATGGGTCTCTATGGGTCCATTCACTCCCTATGGGTCCCATTCCCTCCCTATGGGTCCCATTCCCCCTCTATGGGTCCCATTCCCTCCCTATGGGTCCCATTCCCCCTCTATGGGTCCCATTCCCTCTCTATGGGTCTCTATGGGTCCATTCACTCTCTATGGGTCCCATTCATTCCCTATGGGTCCATTCCCTCTCTATGGGTCCCATTCCCTCCCTATGGGTCTCTATGTGTCTCTATGGGTCCCTATGGGTCCCTATGGGTCCCTATGGGTCTCTATGGGTCCCTATGTGTCTCTATGTGTCCCTATGTGTCCCTATGGGGCTCACCCTATAGGGCACATTGAGCACCCCCACATTGAAGCCCACTTGGACCGAGCCCAGGGCGGCCGCGACCACAGCGAGGAGCAGGGGGGGGGTCAAGGCCCCGCCCCCCTCTTCCGGAGGCCCCTCCCCCTCCTGGGGGGGGGACCCATCAGTTGGCCCCGCCCCCCTCATCACGATCCCTCCCTCCCCCCCACCATGGGCTTTCCTTATATGGGCATTTGCCCATAAGTGACCCCCTCTGCCCCATAAGTGACCCCTCTGCCCCATAAGTGACCCCCCAGACCCATAAGTGACCCCCCAGACCCATAAGTGACCCCCCAGACCCATAAGTGACCCCCCAGACCCATAAGTGACCTCCCCAGACCCATAAGTGACCCTCCAGACCCATAAGTGTTGGCCCCGGACCCATAAGTGACTACCTCTGCCCCATAAGTGACCCCTCCAGACCCATAAGTGACCACCCCAGACCCATAAGTGACCACCCCAGACCCATAAGTCACCTCCAGACCCATAAGTGACCCCCCCGACCCATAAGTGACCTCCCCAGACCCATAAGTGACCCACCAGACCCATAAGTGGCCCCCCCATAAGTGAACCCCTCTGCCCCATAAGTGCCCCCCGACCCATAAGTGACCCCCCCAGACCCACAAGTGTTGGCCCCGGACCCATAAGTGACTACCTCTGCCCCATAAGTGACCCTCCAGACCCATAAGTGTTGCTCCCGGACCCATAAGTGACCCCCCAGACCCATAAGTGACCCCCCAGACCCATAAGTGTTGCCCCCAGACCCATAAGTAGCCCCCTCTGCCCCATAAGTGACCCCCCCAGACCCACAAGTGT